AAAAATAAAAAATAAATAAAAATATCACTGAAGCAGAAAGTAGCCTTCCACAGCTGTGTGGCTGTACTTATTACTCTAAAGATATATTACTCAAATGAATATACATGAGTAAGAAAGTAACTCCCACCACCACCCCCATGAATGTTAATGAGGTTCAGAAAAATCTTACCGTTAGGATGTCATAACTTCCTGCTGTAAACTGCTTTCTGGAAGAAACCATGCCAGTTTTAGGGTCAATAAAAAACTTTCCATCATCATTCCCATCCACAATACTGTAGGAGATTTCTGCATTGAGGCCTTCATCTCTGTCAAATGCAAAAGCCCTATAAATGGGTTCTCCCCTCTTTTTTCGGTCACGTTCTGGCAGCTTGATCTGGTAGACCTTCTCTGGGAACTGGGGTTTATTGTCATTTTCATCCAAAACCTGAACCACCACCCAAATGGTGGACTGTTTTGGAGAGGAACCGCCATCTGTCACAGTCACCTGAGTTTTGAAAGAGAAAGCATTTTGCAATCAGAATGGAGAAAAACTTCTCTTGCCACTCCTCCCTTTGCCTGCCCCACAAAAGGCCTATTCTGTGCCTTAGGGCATCTCAACTTTTCTTATTCCTGTAGTTCATGGTCAATGCATAACTCTTCATAGTTCATCTGTAAAGGCAGGGAATGCCCTATATCCAGTAATGGAAATCACTGCAAAGGTTAGGAGGGAAGCAGAGCTCTCGTTGTGCTGTGGAGTGGAGAGGGAGAGAAAAAGAGGATCGACTTTACAAAATGTATTAGCTTATGTAAACTTAGTGGACATAAAGTATACCCCTCAACAGACACAAAAAACAATATAATCATTATTATATGTTAAACAATGGGCATTTCTTCTAATTCTTGGACAATGATATCACCATTTAAATTCTTTCAGTATTCATTTTCTTTTCCTTTCCATTCTGTAAAACTTGTGAGTTTTACATTATTACTGTACAAAAGGAAAACTGAGATATATGCTTCAGAATTTTGATGGCTCATTGTAAGTACATTTGACAGTTTTAATACATTTTTAACAGTAACAAAATAATTTTCCCCCCTCTGGGAAACTCAAGAGGGGATGGACACTTCTTCCTGCATCTCTGAGGTGCTATTCTTATGAGTGTCTGGGAAAACTGAGAGAGAGGAGAGAAATGAAGAGGAGAGTCAGTGTGGGTAGTCTTCTTGGTCATAGTGATAATAATTACTAACATAGAAATACTTGTACACGAGGATGGTTTCGCCGTTTATAAAGCACTCTTCCATGCATTGTATCCTTCACTTTCCAAAAGACCGTTTTCACTAAGTGGAGGCTTATTTGTTCCCATTTTACAGAGGAGTAAACAGAGGCACAGAGGTCCCCTTGTTACCAAGTGCTAAAGCCAGGTATTATTAAGTTTTTGGCAATTCTTAATGTTCTGTGTGACCACAAACCTGGAAGAACATGTATTTCATCTTTAAATCATTACCTGGAATAAGACAGCTTATTCCTACAAAATATATATTTGGAGGCTAGAAGGAACATAAAGACATACTCGGCACCAATAGGAGAAAAACAACAGTGAATTACAACACCTGGTCATCCAGTTTTTCACCTAATAAAGCAATCTGACAGGAATAATGGAAACAAAGGCCAAAAATGTGGGAAAACAAATTAAAGGCTTTTTGCAAAATGGAAATGCAATGTAGTTTAGTTTCTCTTACAAGCCACCTAGGAGAATGGCTTTAATAGACTTAAGATAAATTTTCATGGGAGTCCTTGCTTTCTTTGAGAAATCAATCAAGTTTCCTTCTAAAGTTATTTTCCCAATTGGTTTGTTATGTTTCACAAAAGAAACACGTCGGGACCAATATGTGCCAGGGCTGGATTTTGACTCCTGAGATTTTCCCGGACGTGCTGAGCTCTGAAGAGGCACATTCTGCTGTTGCTGCCGGAGTAAAATGTTATACTCCCAGGTGAGTTGTGTTGACCAAAACACATTGATTTCTTGGCTGCTCTACTTCCCTGCCTCTCTTTTCTCCTTGAACAGCCTCTTTCTGAATCCAGGCAACTCTCGCTATCTTCACCATGCACAAAATCACCTCCTCATCGCTTCTCAATAAATGCCCCTTGGTGGGCTCAGAGATGGGGTCCCGGGGCTGCTCAGGGCCACGTGGCTGTGAAGGAAAGGATTCTGGGCTGTGGTTCACCACTCACTCGAGGATCCTGCTGCTGTAGAGTGCTTTCTTTTGGGGTCGCCTGGGTGGCTCAGCCGGTTAGGCGTCTGCCTTTGGCTCAGGTCATGATCTCGGGGTCCTGGGATCGAGCCCTGGATCGAGTCTGCTTCTCCCTCTGCCCCTCACCCCTCTCATGCTCTCTGTCTCTCACTCTCTCTCTCAAATAAAAAATTAGATATTTTTAAGAAAATGCTTTCTTTTGGAGTAGAGCTGGATTTACACACCCAGGTCCTTCAGGTGTCTGCTTAGCAGGGAAAGGTGGCAGTCGCACAGCTGCTCCCAGGTGTGCTATGGGGAGCTGGGTCCCTCCTGGCCCCACCTCACCTCAAGCACCCAGCTTGGTCTTGCTCTCTCAGGCTACATAGGCATCCTTGGGTCCTCGATAGAGAGCAACAACTCTTCCCTCCAGGGCTTTTGCACACCCTGACCTCTCTCCCTGGAGGGCTCTCCCCATCCCTTCGCCTGGGTCTTGCCTCCTCATCCTTGAGGTCCAGCTGAAATGTCTTTTCTTCAGGGGTGCCTTCTCTGAGCCCACAGACCAAGCGCCAGCCCCCCACACCTCATGCCCCTCCTGTAGCACACGCTTTACATTACCCGATACTTTTCTTTTGTAGCACTTACTCTTGTGGAAAGTAACTAAATACATGACTCTTCATCTGAGCTGATAAGCTGTGTAAGGGCAAAAACAGACTTTGCCTGGTCTGTTCGCTGCTCTCACTCCTGTGTCAAGCTACGCAGGTAGAACACGCACCACAAATGCTTATTTACTGAATTAGCCTCTGACACAGGTCTTATTTGGGCAACCTCTTGAGCCAAAGCAGTCTTACCTTATAAAACCTACTCAGACCATTAGAGGCCCTTTTTACAACAGAGCCCCCAGCTGCCTTTCCTGCCTTCTGGCCTGTGACTCCTCCATCTTATCCATGGTTTCCAATACCACCTACAGCTGATCATTCCCCAGCGTGTACTCTCATGCCCGAAGCTCGCTCTCCATACCAAACCAGTATGTCCAACTATGTACCAGGAATCTATTCTCTGGACCTCTCATGTCACGGACTGGAAAACATTACCTTCAAACCTCCCGCTTCTCCTGTTTTGATTCTCTATGAAGGACACCCCCACCTACTGCCACACTGGTCTGTCCCAGAACCCTGGGCATCTACCTAGAGCCCCTGTTCTCACTATCCACAACCAACCAAACTCAGAGGCCAGCAGGTGCACCTTCTCTAGTCACACTGCCGCAGGATAGGCCTCCTCTGCATCTTGTTTGGATTGCTGCGGTAGCCTCCTGGTCTCCCTGCCTCCAACCTTCATCTTTGTTGTAAAGTTATTTCTTCCTTAAAAATTGGACGTCACTGACCTTGTATAACACCCTTCCAGGGCTCCTTGAGGACAAGGATCTGGCCAGACTTATTTATCACTGTGCCTTATCCACCCCTTCCCAGCCTCCATGCCCAGTTACACTGTGAGCCTGGGAGGTTCTGAGTATGTTATGTTCTTACACTCTCATTCCACTGTACAGCTGTTTGTCTCCATGGAATGCCTTCTCTTGGAAATACACCTGACTCATTCTAGAAGCTTCAATTCAAACACTCCTTCTCGAAAGTCAATCCTGCCTCCTGCAGACAGATGGAGGCGCCCTCACCACGTTCCCCCTCCACTGTGTGCATAACTCCAGGACGCTAATTATCATCTGCATTTTTCAGTGTCTGTATGCTTGTTGGTCTCCACTCAAACTTTCCAGAACAACCCAAATTAGGGATTGTCTCTTACTCATTGTTATGTCTGGTACCCGGTACATCCCTAAGTGTCAAATAAATACTGTTAAATGAAATTAAGAATTAATTTACCCAAAACTCTTCCCTATGATAATAAGTGGAGGGAACATTCAGACACTGAAGAATCTGTTTCTTCATCTATAAGAAATTAAGAGACTGATAACATACAATCCCTAAGTGCTTCTTGCTTTATGAATCTATGAATGGGGGTTAGACAGAGCTAGTACAACTTTAACCCTGAACTATGGGGTTCATACCCACCTGACATCACAGAGAACATTACCAATCCCATGATTACTCATAATGATTTCTAGCCACTTCCCAAACTGTGCTGGCCATTGCAGACACTTATCTACAATCTACTGAAGTAATCTATTCATGTGTTTGGCTCTTTCAACAGACTGTGAGCTACTCAGAGGCAGGGACCTTGACTTTTTCATCTTCGCTGGAACCTCCTGTACTCTCAATAAATGCTTGCTGAACTGAACTACGTCATTTCTGACCTTAGAGTCTTCATTTCCCTTTTTATTTCTCTAGACCCACTGATGTGTTCAGCTATGTTTGTACCTGGAATATCAATCATTAATGATTCCATCAGATTTTTAGACTTCATTCTTCATGTTGCCTTAGGCCTCAACCCACCAGCTGGAATTAGTCTCTATGGAAAAGGAGCAGCAGCGCTGGGGATCGAAGCAAAACTAACTGAGACGAATCCCTACCATCTCCTCCTCCGCGTCATTTTTCATTAACAATAAATTAGCTGTTGTTTAGAAACTATCCCTTCTTGTCCCACCACAATGTGACAAGGGAATACCGAGCCATCCTAACCTGGATTTTCTGTCATCAATGATCAATAATCAGTGGTTCGGCAATTAATCAAAGCCTGAAAGATTCATTTCTTTAGGTGCTTATGGCTAGCGCCTGACAAAAGGAACCACAACTAGAACCACAACCACTGAAAATACAGTAGAGCCCATTTCATTTTTCCATGGTGTCCTTGGGATCTGTGACTATCAGGCAGAACCAGAGGAAATCAACACGACCCAGTGGATTATAACGATAAAACAACAAAGAGGAACATGTTTATACGTCTATCCCTGGAAAATGCAAAAGCTTTTTAAGACCAAAAATGGATGGGCATGGAGAATTCTGGAGTTATGGCAGCTGGTGGAGGCCACACTTCTGACTCACTGAAATTTTCTGATGTATTTATATTTGTGGTCTCTTTCCCTGTAGTAGAATAGAAGAATGGAAGCTGCCTGAGAGTGGAGACCTTGTGTCTTGTCCACGGCTTTGTCCCCACGGATTATTGAGAGTATCTGAAAATATATTAAATATTTCTAGAATGGAGAGTTCAATTCTGGCATTCTCCTTAACCATTAATTCATCGTAGATGGCTATTTCCAGGCCATTACACTTAGCGTTGTAAACCTCTCTTCAGGGATTACATATCCCCCTTCCTATACTTTATATT